CTCTCACCTCACTTCTAGAATTCAGCTGTTTGGTCCACGTGTGAATCAAGGCTGTAATGAGATCAGGAGCTGAGTGACCCTGGTGGAACCCAAACTGGGCATCACTGAGTAGGTTATTGCTGAGTAAATGCTGCTTGATAGCAATGTTGATGATACCTTCTATCACTTTACTGATGAGCGAGAGGAGACTGATGGGGCGGTAATTGGCCGGGTTGGATTTGTCCTGCTTTTCGTGTACAGGACATACTTGGGCAATTTTCCACATTGTTGGGTAGATCCCAGTGTTGTAACTGCCCTGAAACAGTTTGGCTAAGGGAGCGGCAAGTTCTGGAACACAAGTCTTAAGTACTATTGCCGGGATGTTGTCAGGGCCCATAGTCTTTGCAGTATTCAGTGTGTCCAACTGTTTCTTGATATCATGTAGATTGAATCGAATTGGCTGAAGGCTGGTATCTGTGATGCTGGGGCCAATGGAGGAGGCTGAGATGGATCATCCACTCAGCACTTCTAGCTGAGGATTGCTGCAAATGCTTCAACCTTATCTTTCGCACTGAAGTGCTGGGCTCTTCCATCATTGAGGATAGGGATATTTGTGGATATTCCTCCTTCAGTAAGTTATTAAATTGTCCACCCATCATTCACGACTGGATGTGACAGGACTGCAGAGCTTAGATCTGATCCGTTGGTTGTGGGATCGCTTAGCTCTGTCTATCACTTGCTGTTTTCACTGTTTAGCGTGCAAGTAGTCCTGTTTGGTGGCTTCACCAGGTTGATACCTCATCTTCAGGTGTGCCTGGTGCTGCTCCTGGAATGCCCTCCTGTACTCTCCATTGAACCAGGGTTGATCCCTGGCTTGACGGTAATGGTTGAGTGGGGAATATGCCAGGCCATGAGGTTACAGATTGTTCTGGAGTACAATTCTGCTGCTATTGATGGTCCACAGCGCCTCATGGATGCCCAGTCTTGAGTTGCTAGATCTGTGTGAAGTCTGTCCCATTTAGCACGGTGATAGTGCCACACAACATGATGGAAGTTATTCTCAATGTGAAGATGGGACTTTGTCTCCACAAGGACTGTGCAGTGGTCACTCTTACCGATACTGTCATGGATCGATGTAGCCCTCCATTCAGAAATGCACCCTTCCATTGCTACCCTCTGTCTTCTATGACGGAGCCAGTTTTTTATCCAACTTGCAAGCTCACCTCTGACCCCGTGTGACTTTACCTTCTGTATCAGCCTGTCATGAGGAGCCCTGTCAAAGGCCTTATTGAAGTCCATGTAGACAAAATCAACTGCCGATGATCCTCATCGATCATCTTTGTCACTTCCTCAAAAAACTCAATCAAGTTAATGAGACACGACCTCCCCTTCACAAAATCATGTTGCTACTCGCTAATACGCCCACTTATTTCTAAGTGGGAGTAAATCCTGTCTCGAAGAATCCTCTCCAATAATTTCTCTGCCACTGACGTAAAGCTCACCAGCCTATAATTAGCTGGATTATCCCTGTCACCCTTCTTAAACAAAGGAACAACATTGGCTATTCTCCAATCCTTTGGGACCTCCCCTGTAGCCAGTGAGGATACAAAGACTTCAGTCAAGGCCCCAGCAATTTCCTCCCTTGCCCCTCTTAATATTCTTAATATCCCATCAGGCCCTGGGGGCTTGTCTACCTTAATGTTTTTCAAGACCCCCAATACCTCCTCCCTTTTGATCTCAACATGACCCAAACTATCTACACACCCTTCCCCAGACTCATCATCCACCAAGTCCTTCTCTATGGTGAATACTGATACAAAGTGCTCATTTAATACCTCACCCATTTCCTCTGGCTCCACACATAAATTCCCTTCCCTGTTCTTGAGTAGGCCAAACCTCTCCCTGGCTACCCTATTGCTCTTTATCTATGTCTAAAAAGCCTTGGGATTTTCCTTAATCCTGTTGGCCAATGACTTTTCATGACCCCTTTTATCCCTCCTGACTCCTTGCTTAAGTTTCTTTCAACTTTCCTTGTGTTCCACCCTTGCTCCATGTGTTCCCAGCCTCCTAGCCTTGACAAACGCTGCCTTTTTCTTTTTGACTAGACTCACAAGATCTCTCGTTATCCAAGGTTCCCTAAACTTGCCATACTTATCCTTCACCCTTACAGGAATACGCCAGTCCTGAGTTCCGAGCAACTTACACTTGAAAGCCACCCACATACCAGATGTTGATTTTCCCTCAAACATCTACCACCAATCTACATTCTTCAGTTCCTGCCAGAAGGGTAGGGGGTTTTAGTTGTGATGGGCAACATGTCAGTGCAGGCTTGGAGGGTCGGAGGGCCTGTTCTTGTGCTGTAATTTACTTTGTTCTTTTTTTGTTCTACTGCAGCTTGCAGATTAGTAAGGATGAGGTCAAGATTGCTCTTCCTTCTTGTTGGTTTCCTCACCATCTGCCGCAGACCCAGTCTAGCAGTTATGTCCTCTAGGACCTGACCAGCTCGATCAGTAGTACTGCTGCTGAGCCACTCTTGGTGGTGGATATTGAAATCCCCCACCAAGAGTACATTCTGTGCCCTTGCCATCCTCAGTGCTTCCTCCAAATGTTGTTCAACATGGAGGAGTACTGATTTGTCACCTGTTGGAGGACAGTATATAGTAATCAGCAAGAGGTTTCCTTGCCCATCTTTAACCTGAAGCTATGAGTATTTCATGGGGTCCAGAGTCAATGTTGACGACTCCCAGAGCAACTCCCTCCCGACTGTATCCCACTGTGTCACCACTTCTGCTGGGTCTGTCGTGCCGGTGGGACCGGGTTGAGCCTGAATATTGGGAATATACAAGGAGACAGATACAGAGGGGTTCAGAGATCACAAAGGCTCATTGGAACTGCAAGAGATCACAGACCGATGATGCAAATGGGTGGATCTGCACGGCTGTGAAGTGTTTTGCAGCATTCTTGGGTTCTGTGTGATGAGGCTTCATTATTGCTATTTGTAAACTAAGGCGCTAAAGTAGAAGAACCATGTACAGGTTGGGTCTCTACTCATTGGAGTTTATCAGAATGAGACAGAGAGCATGGAAACAGAGCTTTTGGTCCAACTTGTCTATATTGACCAGACATCCCAATCTGACCTTCGTCCCATTTGCCAACATTTGGCCCAAATCCCTCTAAACCCTTCCTATTCATATACCCCTCCAGATACCTTTTTAAATGTTGTAATTGTATCCACCTCTATCACTTCCCTGGCAATGGCACAACGGCTTAGCACTGCTGCCTCACGGTGCCAAGGACCTGGGTTCAATTCAACTTGGGGGAGGCGATGGCCTAGTGGTAATATCGCTGGACTGTTAATCCAGAAACCCAGATAATTTTCTGGGGACCCGGGTTCGAATCCTGTCGGGGCAGATGGTGTATTTGAATTCAATAAACTATCTGGAATTAAGAGTCCAATGATGACTATGAATCCATTGTCAATTGTTGGAAAAACCCAACTGGTTCAATAATGCCCTTTAGGGAAGGAAATTTCCACCCTTACCTGGTCCAGCCTATATGTGAATCCAGACCCTTGACTCTTAACTGCCCTCTGGGCAATTAGGGATGGGCAATAAATGCTGCCTGGCCAGTGACACCCTCATCCCATAAATGAATAAAGGAAAAAAAATTCCACCCTCGGTAAACCGTCTGTGTGGAGTTTGAACATTCTCCCTGTGTCTGCGTGGGTTTCCTCCGGGTGCTCCAGTTTCCTCCCACAGTCCAAAGATGTGCAGGTTAGGTGGATTGATCATACTAAATTGCCCATAGTGCCCAGGGATGTGCAGGCTAGGTGCAGCCCTAACAAATGTGAATTTAGGAGGTAGGTCAGTGTGGGATGCTCTTCAGAGGATTGATGTGGACTTGATGGGCTGAATGGCCTCCTTCCATGCTGTACAGGGTTCTAGGACTCTATGTCTCCAACTTTGGCTCTATGTTGAGTTTTACTGTCTGATGAAACTCCTGTGAAGTTCATTGAGCCTGTTTTAGTACACATGTACTATATAAATTCAGCCAAGAAAGCACACCAACACCTCTACTTTCTCAGGAAATTCAGCATGTTCATAATGACTTTTGCCAATTTTTATAGATGCACCATAGTAAACATCCAGATGGATCACAGTTTGGTATGGTAACTGCTCTGTCCAAGACGGCAAGAAATTACAGAAAGTTGTGAACACAGCCCGGTCTATCATGAAAACCAGCTTCCCATCCATTGATTCCATCTATACATCCCACTGCCTCGGGAAAGCAGCCAATATAATCAAATACCCCTCCCACCCCGGTTACACTCTCTGTCACCCTCTTCCATTGGGCAGAAGGTACAAAAGTTTGATAACACGTACCGATAGGTTCAAGAACAGCTTCTTCCCCGTTGTTATCAGACTTTTGAATGGATCTCTCATATATTAGAGTTGATCTTTCTCTGCACCTTCTCTGTAGGTGTAGCGCTATATTCCGCACTCTGTTCTATTACCCTGATTTGTTCAGATAGCACGCAAAACAATACTTTTCACTGTATCTCAGTCCATGTGACAATAATAAATCAAATCAAATCAAGCTGATGGCATCAATAGAGTCTATCTCACCAGCCAGTGAGTGCTTTACAAAAGTGAGCCGTCCTCCTGTGTGAGCCAGAGGGTGAACTCCCCATGGACTGCATTAAGACGGAGCCCAATCTCACCCTCACCCAATGTTCCCCACACACATGGGACTTCCAGGATGGGTCACAGACAATGGTGATGAGCTGGAACACCGAGCTGATGTTCCTGTTCTTTAGCCTGGGGCCACTGAAGCAACTGCTGGGCTCTAGTGGCCCTTCCATTGAGAGCAGCAGGTAAAGACCAGGCTTTTTCACAAAGAACATCTCATCAGCTGATAAAGGCACTGAGCTTGAAACTGATAGGAAGCAATGCAATTTCATCGCTATTTTATGCAGGTGAAATTAGGATCAATAAATTTGAACATTCTTAACATGAACTCACTGCTATGGCAAGACTGACAGCACCCAATTCAATTTTATCTAAATATCCACAGAATGCAGAGCTTAGAATATTTATGAGAATTACCATCAGCTGTGACAAAAATTGTAAAAGGAAAATGAATGAGAAATAATATTTACAGTCAATTAATTTTGGTCAAACTCTTCTTATACATATAAAGAAACAAATGAAGCCTATATTTCAGACTTGAAACAAGTGTCTTTCTCAAAAGGTGATGCTATTTACTAATAATTTCATTGAGGTTTTAAGGATAGTGAAGGAAAAGTGACAGCATTGACTCAAGTAATTCATTTGCCGGTGAGGAGCCTAAATATCAAGGGAAGCAAATTGGGAATAATGGCTGTTGAAGTTCTGAAACAAAGTCAAGCAGAAAATTCTCACCTTTAAGTTAATGAAACTGGGGATTAAGATAGCAGGTAAGGTTAATGAAGTTTTTTTTCTAAAACAAAGTTAATTAAATAATTGCCGTGAGTGAAATTTGATTGACGGAAAGTGAATGAATAAATTGGTATTTGAAGGGGATTATATAAAGAGGCGCAGTGAAAAGAATTGCATAAATGAGTTGATCGAACGAAATGATACAAGTGGGTTTGATGGACCATTAGACACATCTCTGGAGTAGATGGAGTGTGAAGGACACAGTGAGATTTCAGATGGGTGCAAACTCACCATTTACCAATCTGGAAATCTCGTTCACTTCCTGCCAGACACTTGTTTCAAGTCTGAAATACAGGCTTCGTTTGTTTCTTTATATGTATAAAAAGAGTTGGACCAAAATTAATTCCCTTATTTTTCTCAGGAATAGGTTCGATTTCTCTGGGCAACATTGCCAGAAGTTAGTTGCACTAAATTCGCCACTTTTCCAATTCTTCTCTAGATTAGCAAAAATAAACTGGCTATTTACTTCTCTCTTTTTAATATCCCCTCCCACACATTCTGATGCCACCATCCCAACCAAGAAATCCCACACCTAGGGTTCCTCTATTCCCTACCATCCAGTGTCTTCTAATCTGATAAATGTTTTTTATGACAATACAATGGCTTTCAGAGGTGTTTTTTGAAGAGAAGTTTTAAGCCAGCGGTACAAGCTGTCTATTGAAATCCCATAAAGTGAACAGCTTATGAGGCCTTGGGATTTTTTTTCTAAGTTTGGAACATTAGAAGCAGCCTGCATGGCTGGGGTCGAGCTCCCACAGAACCGGGATTTTTAGCTTTAGTTTTTGTTGCTGGGGTCTTGAAGCTGGATGTGGAAGCTATTATTTTCCTCTCTTAGTTACAGCTAAAAGCTGGGGCTCGCTTCTTGCTGCTGGACTTGCACATGAGACGATCTATTTTACTGAATTTGCCTTTGTCAAGGGTATGTTTATGAGATGTTACTACATTGGAATAGTTACTGTTTTGTAGTAAAATAATCTTTTATTCTGTTAAGTTTTCTGGTAGAGTTAAGTTATTCCAATTTCTTCTTTCTTTTGCTGCATTTTAACTATTGTGTATGAATAAAGTGTGTTTTGATTCAAATCTGGTAGTTTGACCAATCAAATTACATTCTGAACACAATGCCTGGTACTTGCCTTTACAATAAGAAAAACTTAGGATTTAGGCTATCTTCTTAACATATTGTGAGGGGGTTTGGTCTGGTCCTTAACAGTTTCAATTTTAAATATATTCCTACATCTAGAAGACGACGTTTCAGAACTCCCGCTATTGACATACATCTTCTGCCCTTGTCTTTCTCAGTTGTACAGGTCATGGGTTTGAAGAAGCCTTGGTGAGTTATTACAGTGTATCTTGTAGATGGTACACACAACTGCTGCTGTTAAGCAGTGGTGAAGTGTTTGAATATTGAAGGTAGTGGATGGGTGTGAATCAAGCAGCTGCTTTGTTCTGGATGGTACCGAGCCCCTTGGATGCTTTTGGCACCAGGTAGGAAGGATTAATAAAAAAGCATATTCTCTAAATGGTCAGCGATTTCAGAACTCTGAGATGCAGAGGGATCTGGACGTCCTAGTGCAAGAATCACAAAAGGTTAGTGTGCAGGTACAGCAAGTAGAATTTTGTTATTAAAATAATGATGTTGAGATGTCAGGACAAAGGAGATGTGCGTTGAATGCTTGTGATTTGAACTAAACCTGTTGGACTATAACATGGTGTCGTCTGACTTCTGAGTTTATTGAAATAAAATAAAGAATTGCAGTTTCTAAAGATCTGAAACACACTACACAGAAATAGCTGGTGAAATTCAGCAGGTCTGGCAGCATCTGTGGAGAGAAAACAAAGTCAACATTTCTGAAGAAGGGTTGCTGGATTCAAAATTTTAACACTGCTTTCAGGGATCTATTCTTGCTGCATCTCCCACCAATCGACACCCTCTTCTCATGCTCCATAAAATTGTGTGTTTCTCAAGCCTGTTTCTTGTGTTTTCATTCTGATGAATACAAGATGAAAAGCTTCAACTACTTCTCTCCTTTTAGTGATGTTTAAATTCTGTACTACCAAGCAATCATGTATTCATTTGTTGTTTTACGTAATTTTTCGCACAAATGAGTTATGTTTACTTCATACTTCAGCTTTCTTTTTGAAATTCATATTCGATTTTATGCCAAATGTTATTTTGAAGCCAAAAACAAACACGACATCTGGTGTCGTTTTGTACATTTTTGCTAGTTTTTCCTTGAGATAGAAGAGAGTCAGAAAGTGGCCTCTCTGTTCACCCACCTCAGACCTAGAAAGACAGGGACATGAGGCACCACCAGCTACATTATTCCCCCAAGGGAAACAGTGGATAAATAAGGACAATGCTGGTATGTAGGAAGATTCTGAATGGTTTATGGACTTGCTGGTAATAGATCTGCATGTGATAGTTGGAATGCAATATATTAATCATTGCGGGGAGACATGTTCAGTAACCATCTGAACCAGTTTTCCATTTGTAAGAAAGTCTAAAAACCCATCTCGGTCACATTCTACTTCCAACCCCTCCTCACTTGCATCCTCCATAAACTCTATCATCCTGATCTCACATCCTAACTTGTCCCATTCCCCTGTCACCCCTTTGCTCACTAACCCATCCTGTGGGTCAATGTTCGTCTGATTTCACCACTATGAAGTGCCTTGAGATGGTAAAGACAAAGGAATACATGATGAACAATCGGACCCAGGAACGTTGGTGTGCATGTGCACTGGTCCCTTAAAGGTGGCAGGACTGGTAGCTAAAGTGGTTAAGAAGTCAGAGGGGATTCTTGCTTTTATTCATTCAGGCGTAGAGTTTAAGAGCAGGGAGGTTATGCTGGAACTGTATAGAAAGTTGGTTAGGCCACAGCTAGAGTATTGTGTGCAATTCTGGAAGTCTAGGAGGGATGTGATAGCACTGGACAGGGTGTACGGGAGATTGACCAGGATGGTGCCCAGGGCTGGAGAGTTTCAGTTGCGAAGAGAAATTGAACAGATTGGGATTGCCTTCCTTGGAGCAGAGGAGACTGAGAGGGACATGATTGAGCGAAATATAATTATGAGGGGCATAGATAGGGTAGACAGGGAGAAACTTTTCCGCTGATGGAGGGATCAATGATGAGGGGGCATAGATTTAAGGGAAGGGAAGGAGGTTTAGAAGCGATATGAGGAAACACTTTTTCATTCAGAGGGTAGTGGGAATCTGGAACTCACCGCTCATAAGGGTGGTAGAGGTAGAAACCCTCATAACTTTTGAAGTCAATGACCAGGTCCTTCATTTTGCTGACATTGAGGGAGAGATTGTTGTTTTTACACCATGTCACTAAGCACTCAATCTCTTTCTTCATCGTTGTCGGAGATTCAACCCACTATGGTGGTGTCATCAGCAAATCTGTAAACGGAGGTAGAGCTGAATTTGGCCACACAGTTGTGAGTGTATAAGGAGTATAGTAAGAGCCGAGTATGCAGCCTTGCAGGACATCAGTATTGAAGATTATCTTGTCGCCTATCCTTACTGATTGCGGTCTGCGGATCAGGAGGTTGAGAATCCAGTTGCAGACTGGGGAGCAGAGACCTGGGTCTCAGAGTTTGGAGATGAATTTGGTTGGAATTCTGGTGTTGAAGGTGGAGCTGAAGTCAATAAATAGGAGTCTGACATAGGTGTCCTTGTTGTCCAGATGTTCCAGGGAGGAGTGTAGGGCCAGAGAAATGGCCCTACTATGGACCTATTGTGACGGTAGGCGAATTGTGGATTAAGGCAATCTGGGAGCCTGGAGCTGATGCGTGCCATTACTAACCTCCCGAAGCACTTCATAATGATGGGTGTCAGAGTCACTGAGTGGCATGTTGCCTGATTTTTCTTTGGCACTGGGATAATAGTGGTCTTCTTGAAGCAAATGGGAACCTCAGTTCGCAGTAAGGAGAGGTTAAAGATATTTGTGAATACTCCTGCCAGCTGGATCTGAATGCACAGCTCGGGACACCATCCGGGCCAGTTGCTTTCCATGGGTTCATTCTCAAGAAGTGTCTGCAGCGGTGACCGTGGGTACAGGTGCACTCGAGGCTGGGGAAGGCAGGTGACATCACTTACACTGATCTCCGGGGAAGGATGCACTACTGTCAGTGATTCGACTCGATGTTGTTTTGTAGCCTGTTATATCAAGTAAGCCTTGCCACAGTCAACGTGTGTTCATGCGCTTAGTCTGGGAGTCTAGTTTGGATTGGCATTGTCTCTTGGCATCCATGGTGGCTATGCAAAAATCATACCTAAAGTCTCAATTACGCAGTACACGTTTCTCAGTCTCACAGCAGAACCAACAGCCCTTTAGCACAAGTGTAAGAGTGTTTCATAAAGAACCATGGCTGATACCTGCAATTAACGTACAAAACAACTGATGTAGTCTCAGGGATAGTAGGAACTGCAGATGCTGGAGAATCCGAGACAAGGGTCTAGGCCCGAAACGTCAGCCTTTCTGCTCCTATGATGCTGCTTGGCCTGCTGTGTTCATCCAGCTCTGCACGATGTAGTCTCAGGGATAGCTATCAGGGCACAATAAGAGCGAGAGCTAGAGTCTGACAGAGAGACAGACGTGAAGAAAGAGAGAGATGCGATACATACATTTCTGCAATTTGAACATCAATGTAATCAGATTCAAAACCCAACTTCTAACTGGAGGTATTCCTGTAGTCCTGCTACAGGAAAAATGATGTGAAACTTCAAAGGGTTCAGAAAAGATTTACAAGGATGTTGCCATGGTTGGAGAGTTTGAGTTATAGGGAGAGACTGAATAGGATAGGGCTATTTTCCCTGGAGTGTCAGAGGCTGAGGAGTGACCTTGAGAGGTTTATAAAATCAGTTGGGGCATGGATAGGTGAATGACAGGGGTCTTTTTCCCCAGGGGATTCTTATCAGTGATAACATGATTGGGTCAACATGTCAGAGAAGACAAGGAATATAGAACATAGAACATAGAACAGTACAGCACAGTACAGGCCCTTCGGCCCACGATGTTGTGCCGACCTATTATGCTACTAAGATCAATCTACCCTGCATACCCTACATTTTACTATCCTCCATGTGCCTATCCAAGAGTCACTTAAAAGTCTCTAAAGTATCTGACTCCACTACCACTGCTGGCAGCGCATTACACGCCCACCACTCTCTGTGTGAAGAACCTACCTCTGACACTTCCCCTATACCGTCCTCCAATCACCTTAAAATTATGCCCCCTCGTAATAGTCATTTCCGTCCTGGGAAAAAGTCTCTGACTATCCACTCTATCTATACCTCTCATCATCTTGTAAACCTCTATCAAGTCACCTCTCATCCTTCTTCGCTCCAATGAAAAAAGCCCTAGCTCCCTCAACCTTTCCTCAGAAGACCTGCCCAGGCAGCATCCTAGTAAATCTCCTCTGCACCCTCTCTAAAGCTTCCACATCTTTCCTGTAATGAGGTGATCAGAACTGAACACAAGTGTGGTCTAACCAGAGTTTTATAGAGCTGCAGCATAACCTCACGGCTCTTAAACTCAATTCCCCTGCCAATGAAAGCCAACACACCATAAACCTTCTTTACAACCCTATCAACTTGGGTCGCAACTTTGAGGGAACTATGGACGTGGACCCCAAGATCCCTCTGTTCCTCCACACTGCCGAGAATCCTGCCGTTAACCCTGTATTCTGCATTCAAATTCAACCTTCCAAAATGAATCTCTTCACACTTTTCTGGGTTGAATTCCATCTGCCACTTCTTTGCCCAGCTCTGCATCCTGTCAATGTCCCGTTACAACCTACAACAGCCCTCTACGCTGTCCACAACTCCACCAACCTTCGTGTCATCAGCAAACTTACTAACCCACCCTTCCACTTCCTCATCAAAGTCGTTTATAAAGATCACAAAGAGCAGGAGTCCCAGAACAGATCCCTGCGGAACACCACTGGTCAGCGAGCTCCAGGCTGAATACTTTCCATTTACTACCACCTTCTGTCTTCTATTGGACAGCCAAATCTGTATCCAGACAGCCAAATTTCCCTGAATCCCATGCCTCCTTACTTTCTGAATGAACCTACCATGGGGAACCTTATCAAATGCCTTGCTAAAATCCATATACACCACATCCACTGCTCGACCTTCATCAATGTGTTTTGTCACATCCTCAAAGAATTCGATAAGGCTTGTGAGGCATGACCTGCCCCTCACAAAGCTATGCTGACTGTGTTTTTCCAAATAATCATAAATACTATCTCTCAGAATCCTCTCCAATAATATGCCCACCACATAAGTAGGACTGACTGGTCTGTAATTTCCAGGATTATCCCTATTCCCTTTCTTGAACAAGGGAATGACATTTGCCACCCTCCAATCTTCTGGCACTACTCCAGTGGACAGTGAGGATGCAAAGATCATTGCCAAAGGGGCAGCAATCTCTTCCCTCGCTTCCCGTAGTAACCTTGGGTATATCCTGTCTGGCCCAGGGGACTTATCTATCCTCATGTTTTTCAAGATTTCTAGCACATCCTCCTTCCTAACAACAACTTGTTCAAGCATATCTGCCTGTTTCATGCTGTCCTCACAAACATCAAGGTCCCTCTCACTGGTGAATACTGAAGCAAAGTATTCATTAAGGACCTCCCCCACCTCCTCTGACTCCGCACACAAGTTCCCTCCACTATCTCCGATTGGCCTTACCCTCACTCTGGACATCCTCTTGTTCCTCACATAAGTATAGAAAGACTTGGGGTTTTCCTTAATCCTACCCGCCAAGGTCTTTTCATACCCCCTTCTAGCTCTCCTAAGTCCATTCTTCAGTTCCTTCCTGGCTACATTGTAGACCTCTAGAGCCCTGTCTGATCCTTGCTTCTTCAACCTTAAGTAAGCCTCTTCTCAAGGAGCTGTACAATTTTGCTGATTGTTCTGACCTGATGGAATAGCAAATGCTTCCTAGTATTGAAGAGGGCAGTGAGGGGTAAGTAGCTATTCTGCTGTAGTTACTGCACAAACTTTATCTTTTAAAATGTTTGTGAAGCACCTATTTCATACTGCATGAAAGCAGCTGTGTCACTACTTATAAGCAAAAACCCAAAACAGTTCACTTTTTAAAATCCATAGTTAACATACAAACATTGAAACATTCTTCTGCCTTGATCTCCTTCCTGAAGTCCCAGCATCTCATATCCAAACTTGCACCACATCCCTTTTCCCTGTACTCCTGTGCTCACTAATCCGCATTGCGAACCCATATTTTATTTGATTAAACAACTGTGAAGAGCCTTAAAATGGATTCCTACATAAAAGGCACTATATAAATGCAGATTATTATTATACACTGCCAGTACTGAAAGCCTGGATCAGTGTCTTTACAAAAATGCTGTGCAGCTTGACTAAATTTGCAATAAATTCCGACAACAGGTGCTTTTGCAAATTAAGTTTACAATATGCTTTACATAAAGATGGATTTATTCAGCTGTCACATGGATAGCATTTCAGTCAGACTAAAAAGGAGTTTGGCCACACAGTCAGAGTAGTTTCAAAGATAATGCGGAGCACAGAACATATGCTCAAATGAGAAAAATGCCACTTCCCAAAGACCAAAATAATGTTTTTGAAATACATAATAACACAAGGCATTGTGGTGGACCCCAGAAAGATTAGGGCCATCAGTTTGAGTTTCCATAAGCAAAATACATCAACAAAGTGCAATGCTTCCTAGAATTGGCACGTCTGAAGTTCTGAAAAAGAGTCCTACTGGACTCAAAGTATTAATTTTATTTTGCTCTCCAAAAATGCAACTAGACATGCTGAGTTTCTGTGTTTGCATCCAGCATCCTGCTCTTAACGGAGTTTACTCCTGACCTGGTGCTGAGTTTAACCTGGAGGGTAACTACGCCTCATTTGAGAGGCAAGATTGAGAAGGCAAAACTTTCATGCAGGAACTGTCGGCACTGATCTGCATCACAAAGCAGCCATCCAGCCAACTGAACTAACTGATAACCCCAGCCCACGATGCCAAAAGCTTAAAATCTCAGGGTAGCTTTCTCCCTAAAGGTGGGTCTGGGGGGTTAGGCTTAGGATGGTGCTCCGATGTTGGGGGTAGTACAGAACAGCTGTAAACATCTACAACCTCATTTAGAAGTGACCTCTGGCAGGATCAGGAGATCTGTTGAATTTAAAACTAATAGGAGAGGATTCGATTCCACAATTGCAGTTGGAAACATTATAACAAGTGCCTAGTTTCTGGTGGATAGCTAGATAGATAAAGAACAGAAAAAGACATCCAAGCTGGAGAAACCTACAAACAACCTCAACTACCAGTCCCTTTCTAACCCCAGGTCAATGTTTTTTTTTCCCTTTTATTCATGGATGGGATGAGGGCATCGCTGGTGAGACACCATTTATTGCCCATCCCTAATCACCCAGAGGGCAATTCAGAGTCAACCACATTGCTGTGGGTCTGGAGTCACATGTAGGCCAGACCAGGTAAGGATGGCAGTTTCCTTCCCTAAAGGACATTGGTGAACCAGATTTTTTTTTCTCCCAACTAATGGTCATCATTAGATTCTTAATTCCAGATATTGTATTGAATTCAAATTCCAACTGCCGTGGTGGGATTTGTACCTGCATCCCCAGAATGTTAGCTGGGTCTCTGGATTAACAGTCTAGCAATAATACCACTAGGCCATCACCTCCCTCTAATTGCTGTGCAATCTCTTGTGATGCATCACATGCAATTGTACAAAGGTAGTTTCAGATTCTTCATTCTGAAGAAGGGCCACCAGACCTGAAACATTAGTGCTGTTTTCTTTCCACAGATGCTGCCAGGCCCTGCTGTAAATGGAGACATTTCATGAATCCAACCTCAAGATTGTTAACTTCAAAACGATTTAGGAAGTCCCTGTGCCCAATTGCAAATCCATCTCTATATCACTTACCATCATTTTTTTTTCTTCATAGTTGTGGGGCCTGGAGGTACTTTCATACGTTAAAAGGTGCTACACAACTGGAATTCATTCTAGGCGGCCATTTTGTGGAGACTGAGTCAGTTGTCCACTTCCATTTTGTTTCTGGATGGTCAGCCACATCCTTAAAACCAGCTCCATGGTGAAGGTTCTATCCCTCCAGGAAAGGTGATGACTTAGCGGTACTATTGTGCAATGATTAACTGAGTAATGTTCTTGAGGCCCAGCTTCAAATACCACCATGGCAGATGGTGGAATCTGAATTCAAATTTAAGAAAAAAAAATGGAATTAAGAGTCTAATGGCGACCATAAATTAGAAGCTAGCCTAATGCCAAGCATGTTACCATTGTCATAAAAAACCACCAGGTTCGCTAATGCCCTCTAGAGCAGGAAATCTGTCATCCTTACCAGGTTTGGCATACATGTATCATGAGACTGGGAAGCATGGTGGCTCGGTGGTTAGCACTGCTGACTCACGGTGCCAGGGATATGGGTTTGATTCCACCCTCAGGGCCATTCTCCCTGTGTCTGCATTGGTTTCCTCCCACTGTCCAAGTAGGTACAGGTGAGGTGGACTGACCATGCTAAATTGCCCCACAGTGTCCAGGGATGTGTGCGTTAGGTGCAGAAAACAGAAGGTTACAGGAATAGGACAGGGGGTGCTGGGTCTGGGTAGGATGCTCTTCAGAGGTTCGGCGCAAACTCGATGGGCTGAATGGCCTCCTTCCTCACTGTAGGGATTCTATGACTGAACTTGTAGCAGCATGAGTGTCACTTCCTGTCCTCCATACTTCCACTGATTCGAATTTCCTCTGGACAACCAAATATTTTCTGATCAGTAAGTGAACAGAGAGCCAGCAAGCCTTTCAGAGCACTGCAAACTGTACAATCAACCATTGGGTAGGAGTTCAACATCATTCTATTGCTTCAAGGTCAATGTTCAATTTATTTTTCTTTCTCACACCATGGACTCAATATAATCATACTCCCTCTGAATATGCCCAAAACAGATTAGTTAGCAGCGAATTTGCAGACAGAACAATTTTTACTCTTCAATTTATTGGTTGAATACACGAATATCTCTAACACGTTAAATATAAATTAACTACACGCATAACTGAGAGAAGAAGGAAAGCTGACTGGGTACTGCCATGCATTAATCACCTGTCTTTCATCTCAGGGGCTTGAACTCAAATCCAACATAGAATAGAGTCATAGAGTTGTACAGCACAGAAATAGACCCTTTGGTCCAACTGGTCCATGCCGACCAGATATCCTAATAAATCTAGTCCCATTTACCAGCATTTGGCTCATATCCCTCTAAACCCTTCCTATTCATATACCCATCCAGATGCCTTTTAAATGTTGTAATTGTACCAGCCTCCACCACCTCCTCTGGAAACTCATTCCATACACACACCACCCTCTGCATGAAAAAGTTGCCCCTTGGGTTCCTTTTAAATGTTTCTCTTCTCATCTTAAACCTATGCCCTCTAGTTTCTGACTACCCCACACCTGGGAAAAGACCTTGTCTATTCACCCTATCCATGCCCCTCATGATTTTATAAATCGCTATAAGGTCACCCCTCGACCTCCAACATTCCAGGGAAAATAGCCCCAGTCTATTCAGCTTCTCCCTATAGCTCAAGCCCTCCACCCCCTGGCAACATCCTTGTAAATCTTTCAAGTTCCACAACATCCGTCTTATAGCAGGGAGACCAGAATTGCACGCAGTATTCCAAAAGTGGCCTAACCAATGTCCTGTACATGCACAACATGACCTCCCAACTCCTTTACTCAATGCACTGACCAATAAACGCAAGCTTCATTACTATCCTGTCTACCTGTGACTCCACTTTCAAAGAACTATGAACCTGCACTCCAAGGTCTTTTTGTTCAGCAACACTGCCAGGACCTTACGATTAATTGTATAAGTCCTGCCCTGATTTGCCTTTCCAAACTGCAGCGCCTCACATTTATCTAAATTAAACTCCATCTGCCACTCCTCGGCCCATTGGCCCATATGTTCAAGATCCCATTGTACTCTGAGGTAACCTTCTTCACTGTCCACTACACCATCAATTTTGGTGTCATCTGCAAACTTACTAACCGTACCTCCTCTGTTCACATCCAAATCATTTACGTAAGTGATTAATGGGATTGAAAGTTTCTCTGTGGGTTGCTATAAAGATAAAAGTATCCACACACCTCCCCCCTACCACCCTATAAGTCTGGTGCCAAAATTACATCACTATCCCCTCTTTGAATTGGATGCAGAGCCATTTGAACTGGGCCCAATGGTTGGGTGGTTTTAGAGAACTCGGTGGGTTTCATTTCCCACTAGGACAGTAACCTTTCAGAGAGATTTACACCTACATTTATAAATCACTCCCCTACCCCTCTCCGCTGCTGTCTCAACAACGAACATTCTATTGAGTTCAATAAAGCAACAACCAGGTGGGTTTCAGGAATGCAACAGGGGAAGGTGTGAGACATACAGTAAATCCTCTGCATCCACAAAATCGTGAAACGCAAATTCGCCTATCCGTGACAAAACAAAATTCAACACCCGCAGGCAAAAAAATCACTTATCCCCAATTTTTAACAAGCTCCACATTCGTGAATTTCATCCTTCGCAGGAATTTTCAGGAACAGAACCCTCACAGATGTGGGGGGAATGACTAGTCCCGTTGTAGAGAAAGATTTTCACTCTCAGTCAATCAAAAACAGGAACAAAAACAAAGTTGCTGGAAAAGCTCAGCAGGTCTGGCAGCATCTGTGGAGGAGAAAACAGAGTTAACGTTTCGGGTCACTGGTGACCCTTCCTCAGAACTGATGGTGGCTGGGAAAACGTCAGCTTATGTGCAGGGAAATGCAATCATAAACAGGGATTGCTGGAGAAACTCAGTGGGTCTGGCAGCGTCTGTGGGGAGGGGAGGCGAGGCAGAGTTAATGTTGCAAGTCCAGTGACCCTTTTGAAAGTTTTGCCGTTTTTCTCTCCACAGATGCTGTGCTTCTCCAACACTCCATTTTTGTTTCAGATTTCCAGAGTCCTTTGTATTTATTTCACTCCTTGGTGTCCGCTGCAAGAAGGGAAGCCTTCAGTGGATGTTCCTGTAAAGTTACCGCTAAACAGTGAAGTGGACAGTGATCCCAATGGCCAGAACTACCAATCCTGCTACAACGGCAAGACCACGGCGAATGACCAGTTGGGCAGGCGACAAGATACCAGCTGTTAGGGTATTTGCTATCAATGTGGTGTGTTCCAGCTGATGTGGTTCCTCCTGGCCCTGTGACAATGCTGAGGCGCCATCTTCTGCAAGATCTGGAACACAAGTGTTTTAGAAGCAACAAATATTTATAACGCCATATCTGTGGTCAGCACAGACTTCACTGTACAGGAGTGTTGTGGTAATGTCAGCGAACTGGTAATCAAGGAGCACAGGCTAACACGTGGCTTTGAATCCCACCAGAGTGGAACTTAAATTCAATTAACACAAAAATCTGGAATGGAAAGCTAGTCTCAATAATAGTAACCAGGAAACTAGCGTCAATTGTTTCAAAAGCCTGTCTGTTTCACTAATGTCCTTTAGGTAGGGAAATCTGCCGTCCTTATCTGGGTCTGGTCTACACGTGACTCCAGATCACCAACAATTTGGTTGACTCTTATCTGCCCTCTGAAAAGCCGAGCCTTTAAGGGCAATTAGGGATGAGCATCTTCTACTCACCTTGCGAGCAAACAGCAAAGAAAAACAAATATTGGAGTCCATACATCTGCTCCAGATTAGGCTGGAGTGATGTTGATCACGACTAGACTTCAAACCTCTCCGACACCAGTAAACGAAGCGAGGTTATTTGATAATTTAGTGCTTGTTTTTTTGGGAGAACTTTGCAATAAGCAAACTGGCTGTCACGAGGATTGTAGTGGCACAGTGGGATTGTCACGAGACTAATAATCCTGAGGCCCAAGTTCATGGTCTGGGGCCGTGGGTTCAAAGCCCACCACAGTGAAATGGGATTCAACAATAATCTGAGTTTAAGGATAGCTGGTCAATTGTTGTAAAAACCCATCTCATTCACTAATGCCCTTTAGGGAAGGAAATCTGCTGTCCTTACCTGTGACTCCTGACAACACAGCAATGTGGTTGACTCTTAACTACCCTAGTACATGGCAATGAGTTCTGGCTCAGTCAGTGATGAGAGCATCCAATGAATTTAAAAATAACATACCATTGATAGAAGTTTGAACCTAATTCCTGAACAAATGAAGTTGCCACACATATAACTCACTAATTTGAAATTGTTACATAATGTGAAGGAAGAGCAGTACAACCCTGGCCCTATCTAGCTTCATATCAAGTGCAATGTATCGTATCTGTGCAATTACCAAAGCTCAAGCCAACTGTGCTGGGCCCAGTTCCCCTCCTCAATCCTGTTCTCTCTTGAGCCTGAAGGGAAACAGAATTGGAGTCAAGTATTAAATTGTTTCTTTATTGAACACTCAGTGATCAGAACCACGATCTATGTGCACAGAACCTCAAAACAGTCGCGCAGTTAGAAGGAACTTTGGGGATGAGCTGCCTTCTTGAACCGCTGCACTCCCGGAGCGTAGGGACACCCACACTGCGGCGCTCCCGGAGCGTAGGGACACCCACACTGCCGCGCTCCCGGAGCGTAGGGACACCCACACTGCCGGAGGGTAGGGACACCCACACTGCCGCACTCCCGGAGCGTAGGGACACCCACACTGCCGGAGGGTAGGGACACCCACACTGCCGGAGTGTAGGGTCACCCACACTGCCGGAGCGTAGGGTCACCCACACTGCCGGAGCGTAGGGACACCCACACTGCCGGAGCGTAGGGACACCCACACTGCCGCACTCCCGGAGCGTAGGGTCACCCACACTGCCGGAGGGTAGGGACAC